ATATTTGTTGCAGTAAAACCTGTTGGCACTTACATCACCAAAATTGAGTCGACAGTGCCGTAAAACACCTACTCAATCAATCAATCAACCAAAGTCACAAAGGACTTATTAGTGGCCTATGCTAGTGTCGGGAAAATTTTTTTAATATAGTTTCTATTGGTATGGGCTAGGGGTTTTGAAGTCAGTTTGGCAGTCACCCTGCACTCAATTCCTGATTCAATACTGAATGATAGGTGCCTTGAACTATAGTCCATAAATGCTTTTTAAAAGAAAACAAACAAAACCAAAACCAAAACCTCGCCTCATTTCATACGCACTGTTCATCTTAACTTGTGCACACCCAAACACCCCTTCCCCTCCCCACATACATAAACACACCCTGGAGTACGTGCGCGTGCGCACACGCACGCACGCACACACACACACACACACACACACACACACACACACACACACTCACTCTCTCTCTCTCACACACACACATATACACACACACAAACACACACACACACACACACACATACACATGTGCATGCACAAACATGTTTTCAAAATACAAATACCCAATATCACGAAAAGCAAGCGTGTTCGATGGGGCAACGATTATCTGTTTATTCCTTCATTGTCTTTGTACTGATTTGGGCCAAAATACCAGAAACAGGTCCCGAATTTACCTGAAATGGGAACTGAAGTAAAAAAGACAACTTATTCATTGCCTATTCCTTCCAACACTCTCTTACGACATAAAACAGGAAGACGAAAGGCTGATAAGGAATTAAACTGTCCGAAATTAAACCGGTTATGGAACAAGAACATCAAAGAATGAAGTGGTTGTGTCATCTGATGAGGGTGCCACCAAAGTAACCAGCTGCATGTGCTTGCAACTCTAATAAGTCCGGATACAAGGGCAGGTGCAGCCCACGCAAAACCTGGCTGGATATCGTTATAGAAGTCCTCAAGAATAACATATCAACAACAAAAGCCACTTACCCTGCGTTTGATTGAAAATTGCACTTCCCCTCTAACAATACAAGAGGAAGGATGAAGTAAAGTAAAGGGATCCAATCCTAGCATACGCTGAGAACATGAGACTCACAGCAACGGGGCAGAAATGGGCAGTAATGAAAGAAAACAGAAATCCTGAACGCCGAACGGAAGAAAATTAGTATCACTAAGAAGAGAAGGTCAACGAAAGGAGCAGGTCACTGTAGATGGAAATGCACTAGAAGACCTCGAATCCTTCTGCTCTCTTGGGAGTATAATTGACAGAGAGGGGTGAACAGGTGCTGAAATAAAGCCCTGCATTGGAAAAGCACAGACTGCTTTCGTATCTTTGAATAGGATTTGGAAGACCAGAGATATACCACTCGAACAAAGCTGAGGATTTTCAATTCAAGCGTGAAGTCAGCCCTGTTGTGTGGATGTGAGACATGGAACAGATCACAGACTTGCATAAAAAGGATCCAGGTTTTCTTGAACAAGTGTCTAAGGAAGTTACTGAGAATCAGATGGATTGACAGAGTCCCCAACGAGGAAGTTTTGAAGAAAACAAGACAAATCACAGTCAGAGATGAGGCAGGAAGAAGGCGGTGGCGATGGATTGGACGTACTCTCAGGAAGCTACATAACAAAGAAAGTGTTGTATTGGAATTTACAGGGTAAAAGTTCAAGGGGAAGACCGCGTGGGATCTGGAGAAGAATCATAGAAATTGGTGTACAGAAAAGTCGGAAGACATGGAATAACATCACGAGGACAGCTCAGAAAAGAGAGAGGTGCAAAGTGTTTCTCCGTTGACTATACCCTGGTGCAGGGTGAGAAAGGCAATGATGATGAAGAAGAGAACAGAAACTGGGAAACAGGTGGCATTGGGGACGTTATTCCAGAAAACGTTTCGACAGTACAAGTTTCACGATTCTAATATTGACCATCAGCTTAAACACTTTGGAAAGACATGGAGCAACCTTCAAGCCAAAGAATCAAGAGAACATGCTGACGTCGCTCAAAATTGTTTCAGTGAAATGAAAGAGGAAATACCAAGCACCCCCGTTGGGGTTTTGCAAAGTAAACTGTCTGCACTACATACTGGTAACTTTACTGTTACTTCATCTGATCTCTTATACTGCGAGGTGTCGATGAGAGATGCACTTCTCGGACATTGACCAGTACCAGGAGTGTTGCTTTTCGGACCGGCATATTGTGCCTTTGAAGGATGTCTTTGATTCCATCGTTCCATCTTTTTATTAGCCTTTTTTTTTGCCCTGAAGCCATCGAATCGCATGCTGTAGACATTTGAGGCTGGCTGTTGTGGCCCCATTCTCATTACGTGTCCAAACCATCTTATTTAATGTTGTCTCTCAATATATTTCGTTTCGACACCCACTTATGCTTGATGCCTTCGTTGTTTTTACACCCAATAAAAAACCACTCGACAGGACATGTTACATGCCTGGAACGTTCCCATCCATTCTTCAGTTATTTCTTTAGATGATATCACTAAAAATGTATGTACACAAGTGTTTCACCGCCCCCCCCCCCCCCCCCCGAGGCAGTGCCGCTGACTGAAGTGTCTTTAGGCCATTCTGAAAGAGGGGGGGGGGGGACTTTTCTCGTTCTTATGCACAGTAGAATTGTAAATTGGCTGATTCAACAATATCATGCTCATAACTGTGCCTGAACTACAACAGAGAACTGCTGCTTTTTCTTTCCTAATCCTTATTATCGTCATTTTCCTCTACTTCTTTTGTATGTTTGTCACATTCTTGTGACCCGCTATTTTCGGGGTGCCTTAAAAGTCAAATCAGGCTTTATGCTGTTAAAGCTAGAGAGGTGAGCAGAGTAAACCCGATTCTCTGTAAAGACTTCTCTGTTGACACCCACCCCTTAGGGATCATATGACCCTATGCAGTTGCGAGCGCCGTACTAATACCTCTACTAAATAAAAAAAAGTGTTTCATTCTAGATGAGATTCGCTGTTAAAACCTGATAAGTCTTTTATGTTCCGTCCTGTTACCCACTTTCTCTCCTGTTACCCACTTTCCCTCCTGTTACCGCCCCTCTTTGCGTTCATTAAAAAAATCTTGAAACTTTTTTTTAAAAGTAAGTATGGGATTAGCTTCACCTTACTGCTAAAAGGAATAGAAATTCATATGAGCACAATGTGTTTGATCTTAGAGTGAGAATCACAAACTGGGGTTCTAAAATGTTCATTGACTTTTAAATTTGGCACTTTAATCCAAAATAATTGTTCGCAGATTGTAAAGCTGAAGTGTTTTTTATTATTTGCCTAAAGAATAGACCTAGTTTCACCAACGTGATATTGCATTGCCCCCCCCCAACCAATTCCAGTACCACAGCTCTATGATTCCTGTTGGTAACAGGAGATAACATTTTCCCAGGAAGCTAATACAAAAGTTGCCGTTACGCTCTAATTTCACGTAATTAAGCTAGGAAATTGCACATGTATATCTATAAATGGTTGATTCATTTCGTCAACTTTATGTTGAAATTTTTCATTTTTCGTCAAAAATGAGACAGTAAAATGTGACTTTTTTTTTTCTTTCAAAATGACTTATATAATGGTTGGTAATACAACAGCGCTGAACGCACTGAGTTTTGACCCTGTATGTATACCAGAGATGTCTCAAACTCCATGTCTCAGCCGACCATAAGCAGAGCTAGGTTTGTTTATCCTAGAAGCAACCTCAGAATCAATCTCAGCATTATTTGAAAGAACAATACTAAGAAAGATAAAATTCTCCAAAGCATTGATCCGGCTGTGATGCACTTTGATGACTGTGTCAGCGATGTTTTTTTAGTTTGTAGCAGGTTGGCGAAGGACATTTGTATTTTTGTGCTAGTGGGAAGCCCAAAGTTGCCACATGGTTTGGAGAAAGAATCTATTCATTCTTGCATGTTAGTCTCGTCATGTGACAATAAGGAACAGTCATCAGCAAACAGATCACGTACCAGAACCGTTTCTGTGTTTTTGGCTTTCGCAACAGGAATCGAGCGTCATATATTTTTTAGGCCTAACTATTCTGGAAGTCACGATCACACCTTGTGGTGGGGATCTGACAACCTCCTGCTACACTGCAGGCAACATGATGCTGAAAAGAGTTCAAGCCAATTCGCAGCCGAGCTTCCCAATGTTCGTGACAGGAAGAGGCTCTGATAATTGTGTTTTGCTGTTGACCATAAAATACCGCCATGGAATTAATTCACCAAATTAATTGGATCAGAAGGCGGTTCAAAAGAATTCTGGCAAGAATCTTGCCAGCAGTGCAGCAGAGTGAAATGCCACAATGGTTGTCACAGCATTTACACGCACCTTTTTGTGCACATGCGTTTTTGTTGGGTCGTTGAAATGCTGGGGTAGCAGTTCACTATCAAACGTAATTTTGAATAGTTCAGGCGCCTTCGGAATGAGAAAGTCTTCACTTTAGATATTTCAGATGTACTAATGATAGCAATAGTATTTTTAACACGGATTGTTTGGAGAGTTTTCAATGCACTCCGCCTAGTTGGCTCAGAGATGTGCATTTGTATCAAGTAAGGTCCAGGTTTTTTGCTTTGTTTAGATAACAAAGCTCAGGGGAAAAACTGACGTAAATATTGTATGCACACATACACACACACACACACACACACACACACACACACACACACACACACACACACACACACACACACACATACACACACACACACACACTCACGCGCGCGCGTTTGCGCGCACCCGCACACACATGCACCAGAAAAGCTCGACTTTAAAATTGTACATAATATCTTTCAAATTGTATCTTAACCCTCGCCCATCTATACATCTGTAGATTTAAAACTAATTTTTTTTCCCCCCCCCCCCTTATTTAATTTATAGGTTTAAACCCCCCCCCCCCCCCCCCCCCACACACACACATTATAAACGCACACATACAATCTTCACCTCCATACATGTGTTAAAATCGTATGTACCCCCCCCCCCCCCTTCCTCCCAATCCAGCTCCATCTGCCACGGCAGAGCTAAGCCTGAGTGGCCTGGGGGGTGATGTGAAGCAGGCGTTTACCGGACAGCCCTCGGCCTCGGCTGCACTCACGCGGTCACTGAGGAATGACCTACTGGTGGCTGCTGATTCAGTGACCAATGCCATGTCGTCTTTGGTAAAGGAGCTGCATTCGGGTGTGTATGGGAGGGCTGTATCGGTATGTGTGTTGTCAAATGAAATCGCTGTAATCAGTTGTGTGTGTGTGTGTGTGTGTGTGTGTGTGTGTGTGTGTGTGTGTGTGTGTGCGTGCGTGCGTGCGCGCGTTTGTGTGCGCGTGTGTGCAGAGAGAGAGAGGGGGGGCGGAGAGAGAGGCGGGGGGGTGAGAGAGGGGAGGGAGAGAGAGAGAGAGAGAGAGAGAGAGAGAGAGAGAGAGAGAGAGAGAGAGAGAGAGAGAGAGAGATGTAAAGCTGTTTAATTGTTGTAAACAATGTGATTTGAACTTTACAATTTTTGGGGGGTATTCACTTTAGCATGCTGTGCTTTACAATGATTATTACCCCATATGACCCTACAAATCTCAGAAGCATTCTTGGCTTTCCACACAACAAACCTGAGACCTGAGGGAAATATTTTAAATGCATTAATTTGACAAATTTGTTCTCCTTCGTTGATCCCAGCAGAATTCTAAATTTTGTAAAGACTATTAGCTTTTTAGATGAGTGTTTTTACTATGAATTTTTGGCCATTAATGTTTAACTTCAGCCACAAAGTAAGCTGTCCTGAGAACTAACATGAGAACAACAAACTTTAGTCCCGCAGACTCAAATAATCTCATATTATAATGCCGCAAAACTCCTACTAAACTGAAACTGTGTAGTTTTTCCTTTGAAAAGTTATACTTTGTTATTTTGTGTGCTATCTTTTAATTAGAATTAATACAAATACTGTTGTACTTTTTCTTTAGATTTGTTTTTACAGCCTACGGGTATTTTTGCGTTTTTCTGTAGATTTTATTGAGTTGTGGTTTTTCTTTAGATTATTTAGTGATAGTATTGTGGTCTTCTTAAAATTTGTACTGATGTTGTTGTAGTTTATCCTTTGAATTGTAGGCTATACAGGTATTGTTGTGTTTTCTTATTTGAATTTTATTCAGAATATTGTTGTGTTTTCTGTCTGCCATGTTCATACACCTCTGGCCTGTGTCTTTCATAGATGAAGATGGCAGTGAAGGAGAAGACGAGGACAGGCTACAGAGCAAACTAAATGGTAAAGCATTATCAGAATTTCTAGTTGTAGTGAACGGCACTTGTGGTGTAGCAGTAAGGTGCTGTACTGTCACATGCAGGCGACCCTTGTTCGATTCCCGGGTGAAGAGACAATTTCTATCGAGTATATCGATCTTCTTGCTGGGATGTTGAGTCCGTTCTAGCCATGGTTAGAAGCCAGCCTCCTAAATTATTATTATCTAAATCATGTCGATATGGGGAGGGGGGTGTAACAGAAACCGCTACTTTTTTTTTTTTTCAAAAAAAGAGTTGTAGTGTACTTTTGTGAAACTGAAAATTGTATTTCTCCCGATCAAATATCAAAATAGAGCGTTCAAATGAAACGTAACAAAATTTATTCAACATAGTCAAATCAAATTCAACATAAAAAGTTCAAACATCAAAACAGAGAGAGCAAATGTAACACTAGAAAGCTCAAATATCAAAATAGCGTCAGTTCAAATTCAACACACATAGGTGCAATAGGTTTTTCTACATGGTCTTGACAACCCCCCC